ATAGTATGTTGATCTAACATTCTCGAATTGTGTAGTATATAGACCTTAGATAGTAATAATTCTTGTTATAATCAAGTTATGGTGGTGGTGCTTATGTGCTATACTTGTGATTAATGTAGCCTTGTCCGCATTACTTTAGAAATTGTGAATGATTTGTCCTCGTTGGCATTACTTCTAGTATTATGGCTTTATCATGTTATAACTTGATTATATTGATATAATGAATGTTATAAAGACTTATTTGTTAATGTGGAGTCAAAGCATGAGTTCTTCTACATGATGATGTGTGTCTCCTGTACACTATAGTGCAGTAATTATGTGGATTATTTGATGTTCAAGTATGATGTTTCTTGATATATTATATGATACTTGTGATACATAAATTTATGATATTATAGTTGTGAATCGAGTGACCTATGATGTTGGTTATGTCTTGTGCTCTAGAATGAGATGTTATGTGTGATATGGTGAAGTATGTGTGTCTCTTCCTTTGGTAGACTTGTATCCCTTACTTGATACATTTACATGTTAATATCAATTCTTGATTTAGAATGATAAATATTCTTAGTCTTGTGTGTGTGATTGAAATGTGATGTTGAACATTTTTAAGAAGGTTCTTTATGTGGAATTTCAACCCAGTTGGAAGGTTATGATATCCTTGAAGTTGAAAGTCCTAATGGTATCCTTATTGTGTGAATGGTAGACTTAGGGTTGACCCTCTTTCCTAAGGTTTAATGTGATTGGGTTATGAAGTATATATGGAACCTCTTCATGTACTCTTTTTTTGAACTACTCTGTGAGAACAAAAGCTAGCAGCAAGTGAGTATGGTTTTGTAAGTAGTTATAGTTAAGGATTAGGCTAGAGTACAAAGAAACCCTTCATATACCTTAACCATGTGCCTACATGGGATGTGTCCTACTTCTACCATTGGCCCGTAGAACAAACCTCCAACTGAGTAGGTTCACGAATCTGGATTTAAGGAATAGCCACTATGGTCTATGTCGGTTATTACCTATTCTAATAATATGGGATACCCACTAGTGCTGGAGAATTCCTATGAAGTTTAAGATGTTGTATAGGACAATATCTAGAAATTGCACGATTAGGATTTGAAAATGTTAGTGAGCGAGTCCCTAGGTTCTCTCCAAGACCATTACTTGAATTTCCTTATATGTTGAATATCTTTTAATGAACTTATGATGATGATGGATTAAGTGAGAAAGCATGTAAATGAATTAGAACTTACCTAGAGTAGTTTAAGGATTGCTTAGTTAAGGTAGGAATGGGGCATAGGAATGGTCAATTAATGTCTTACCTAGGGAAGTCTTAAGAATGACACTAGATAGGAAAGTACATTCCTAGAGTGCACATGATCTAAACTTTGGTAGTCTTAACGATTATTTAGGTAAGCTTGGAGAGGGTGTATGGGCGATCTTTTCTTCCATTATTTAAATAAGTCATTTTATAACCTTTGGGAAGAGAATGTCATATTATGTGCATATTATTATGTGAGGTGACAATGATCTTACCCTAGGTTCTCTAAAGGATATCTTAGGTGTGTGTGAAAAGATTGCACGGGTGGTCGCTTCATAACTCACTTAAGTGAGCCTTAGAATCACCTTTTGTAGGAGGATGTCATGTCTGTATATTTTTGTGTATGCATGATTCTCATTGTGATGTTTGGAACAAAAATGTGGTTCTTATACTTTGAATATGATGTTCTAATAAAAAAGAGCATATTGCTCATCAATTTCCATTCTCATGATTTTATGTGTTAAGCCTTGCATAGTACAAGTGTTTTTACTAATTCCATACATTTTTTTATATCTGAAGGTGTAGGTGGAAAGTGAGAAGTGTTTTGAACCAAAGCTTGGAAACGAGGATTCTGTCACATCCGGGGAGCACTACCTAGACATAACCGGCATCATCATCCTCTTTGAGGACTAAGACTAGCCTCTTAGCTTACATCATTATATTCATAGCTTAAAAATGCGGAAATTTTTAGAAATTTTTCTACATCTATCTTAAGGTTTACATACACCTCTACCATACACATTATATAGTCATATCGCGTATAGATAGACCCATATTACTTGGTCTTCTAATTTTATTGCACGTATATACATAAGATATAACATATTTAAAAACCAGATGTCTCATCTCATAAACGATCTAAATAAGAGTATATCAATTTGCGCATATCCCATGCATCAAAGTAATAAAGCCGCATATAGGCTATACAATTTTTTAGTATCCACATGAAAAGGAAAAAACCAAAAATCCTTATAATTAAAACATCACCAAAAGCTTGATAGAGGCATCGCCCTTTGAAAGTGAGGACCTATTCAACTTGGATGAGTGAGAATCCAATTTTTCCTTCAAAGTCGTCTCAAAAGCCCATCAATAACTGGAACGAAAATGTTGGGGAAAATGAAAATATGGGGTTAGTACACAACTTGTACTAAGTATGAGACCATATGCACACAGATCATAAAATAATGAAAAGAGAGATATTTCAATAATGTAGGTTATTTTCTTTGAAAGGCCTTTATGAACGTACAAAAGGACTATACAAATCAATAAGGCACATACATTAAGTCAAGATCATATGAACCATAAGACCAACAATATTAAGTCTAGTCAAGTCAATAATCATATCAATATACTTGAACATATAACCAAGACAATTGTTTCATATAGGTGTAACATCAAGAATCATGAATAAGAGTTCATCAGAACATATCCAAAGAAAGAGTATTACGCATGAACCCTCATTAAGTCAACTAGTGAAATGACTAAGGAAAGTCCATAACCTTACTCGACCAAGTAAACTCAACAAGAATCATGACAAATGTCCAACTTAATTAGTAGTAATTATAATCATACTTAAGCAATACAGACCCAAAACATATTTATAAGCGAAACTAATCAGCATATAGTATCATCAATGTGCAAGATCATCATAAACTTATCATGTACAACTATAAGCATATGCATATATTAGAATATCCTCCTTAGATTTCCCTCAAGGCTAACTAGTGCTATTTTTAGGTAGATCACCATACACCAAACTAGACTAAGTTAAACCCCTTAGGTCACCCTAGTTAGAATTCATTCTTTTAGTTCATTTTACCTTTTTGAAACATCTTGCCTTAACCAACATACACCAAATGAACTAATCTGGAATTCATTGTCATGGAACCCTATACCGAAGGAAGGTGGACTATTTGCCAAGGTAGTACAAAAACATTAATATGACACTGCGTGGATCCACTATATAATATTCCTATTGGGGAAACATAGTGCAAGAACTAGGACATATAATTGGGACCATCTTTATGCAATATGCATTGTAGTTTCCAATCACATGAATACATTTGTGATCCTACCTTCCCTATGTGCGAAGGGGAAGTCCTCCACACTAGTTCAGTCGGTGCTAAGCTAGAGTCCTTTTTTAAATGACGTTAATGTCTTTATTAATAATTATAACTTAATGTAGGTCATAGGTTATATCCCTTTATAATCATCATCATCATACCTCAGTAAGAATTTCTTGAGTATTGCCCTTTCATTATAATTCATATAAGTGAGGTTAGCACATTTACATTGTCACATAATGATAAGGCACCTTGGTAAGTTATCACTAACCTTATAAAAATTACATTTTAGCTAACAACTCCCCATCCATAGTCAAGACATTTAAATTCAACATCTACCATCCCTATAAATCTTAACATAAGGTATACTTCAATACAACATCATCACTTAATCACAAGTAATCATAATTGAATTAAAGAATAGAGATCACAAGACTTACTCAATCTCCTTCACAATGCCATTATCAAGGTCTTACCATCAACGTCTAACTTAAACAAACAATGGTTTAACGAATTCATGTAATAGTAACCACCATACTAACAAGACCAATTGAATCATTATACAACAATTCTTTACTAGTTTATAACATAGAATTAGAGACATAGATAAAGATTATAAACTACTTCACAACCTAGGTCAATAACACAATAACTAGCATAATTCGCTTGACAACAACATAGGATGGTATTCACACACTATCAAATACAATTCAATTCAAGATCATAATCTAGGGTTAAGGGAAATAGGTCATCTTCTATAATTGAGGACAATACATCAACAAGTAACATAATTGAGTTACAATACATGTTAATATACTAATAATATCCAAAAGCAATCATAAACAAAGCTATTCACATGATCAATTTCGTATTGGATGAAAACTCACTTGAGTTTTATATGTTTGAAATCAATTTGATGGAACCCTTTGAGGAAAGAAGTCCCAAAGGTGAAAAGAAGCTCATACCTTAATTTTTGATGAAGATTGATGGAGAAACTTTGGTTATTTCAGCCCTACAACCCACCTTGACTTTTTTTTCCTATTATGTTCTTCAACTTGGGAGAGAGAAAGAGAGAAGGAAGAGAGTTTTTTTTGGGATTTATAAGGGTTAGGTTAATTTACTTAGCTTAGGGTCTTTATATAGGTCATTAAACCACTTAATTAGGATTCCCTATACCCCTAAATAAATAACAAACAACCTATTTAATTAACTCAACCTAACTTAAGACAAGCACCAAAATAGTTCAGTCACCAACGAGACCGCGCCTATGCTTTGTTTGTCCGTGACCAACCATCCTGTTGGTCTGATGTTTAGTCCACAAAATTCAATTTGGGGGTGGAAGCGTAAAGAGACAGTATTCAGAAACAAGAGAGATGTAAGGATGAAGGTGTGTTTTATTTATGAGGAAAGCTCCTCTATTTATACACATAAATTACACCGTCATACTATTTACTTTACATAATTGGCCGACAAACTTTTTACATGATTGGCCGACAAACTATTTACTTTACGACTTTTGTACATTTGGCTTTTTTCAGCCGACGCAAGACGACAAAAATAAAAAGACTCTCACTTTATACATATGGCTGATATTCAGCCAACAATAATAACAATAATAATTTTTTTTATCTTCTTTTTCTTAGTCTATTCCAGTTGTACTCCGGGGACATAGTTATCTTCGCCATTGCATTTTGAACATAGATGGTCTGGATACTTTTGTCCAATTAGTTTGCAGTATCCGGTCATCAAGTCTTGAGAAATGAAATTTTTTCTGATAGCCCTTGTTGTAGGTGTTTGTTCTGGCTTCAGTAGACTTAATATCCATTGTCGTACTTCTTCCATATCTGCTACTCTTATGTCTTTACAATTGGAGTATATCATTGTTTGATCTCTGTTGTAATAACTCCAAATTGCATTTTCATTTAGGTAGTTCTTTGATAACTCATTTAATATAGTAGCTATCCCAATAGTCCTTTTGTTTGCATAAAAATCTGGGATATCCACCTTCTGTATCTCTTCTTGTGTATCTATTTTTTCTGGTATTATCATATCTCTAGTTAAACCTATCTTAATAACCTGTATTGTAGGTTTAATTTCTTCATATAGTATCTCTGCTGTTGCTGAGTAGAACTTTATATAAAATAAAGTTCCTTTTGTTATTCTTTTATATTGTAGAAATGCCTTATGTAGCTCAGGTATTTTAGCTACTTCGTCTCCTGTAATAGTATATATTGTGCTTATAAGTCCGTAATTGTAGCAAGTTGCTACTAGGTTCGGATTCGTTCCTGGTTGTGCAATTAGTTTATTGTATCCTTGTAGATGTTGGGTTATGTAGTCTTGTTCAGGGTTTCTCGTATTTTTGGCTTTAGTGTTTTTGTTTAGAAAAGTCTGTACTTTGTATATGTTTTCTATATACATTCTGGTAATGTGGTTATATGTTTATTTATCTGAATCTAGGCTGGCTTTGTAGGTATTTACCTGTGGTGGTATGAATATATCTTTCTGGGTACCTTGAGGAGTATATGGTTTTGAGAATAACTTATTCAAGTTTGTATTTGTGTATTTTATTTTAGTCTCCTCCTTTTTTGTAGATTGTCCTGCTGTAGATGTGCTGGCTGTAGCTGCATTTAAACAAATGTTATGGGTTTTTTGGAGTATCCCATCGTCTCCTTGTAGCTCTGGAATTTTTGTGTCTTCCGATCGACATAGCTCCGCATATTTATAGTCATGCTGCTGACTTTTAGTTTTCAAATTTTGTAATTCTTTACTCATACTATCTACTTTCGTAGAAAGTGTAGTAATAGCTTTGAGTATTTCTTCTGTTGTATCTGGTTCAGTTTGTGTTCCTTTTTCTTGATAGGTAATCTGCAACAAGAGACATAAAGTTCATCTTGTATACTTTGTATGGTTAACTCAGTGGTCCAACCTTGGGTTGTTATTTCTATTATCTCGTATGTTACCAATTTATCATAAATTTCCCTTTTTATATAAGTATTAAGATTTTTTAATATATAAAGTACTAATATCTTATAATCAACATCATCGTTTAATAGGTAAGTTTCCATTTTTATCATTTTTATTTTCACTAAAATTTTATTCCTTCCAACCTCTTAATAAATTATACTTGTTTATTATGCAAAAATAATGATTTAATAATCATCTCGTCTGGTCACTACTACAGCTTTCTTCTTTGATAAGTTACCCTAACAGTGCCTCAACTTTGTTTACTGTAACGACCCGTTTAATCGCTTTGAGCAGCAAACTTTATTTCTAGAAAAACTGGCAGAAGCGACGGACCCCACGACAGACCGTCATGGGCACGACGGACCGTCGCAGGGTCTCGTTTCAAAACACTTAGGAAATCTGAAATTGCGTACTGAAAATCGACTCTCTGAACTTTGTGACGGAATGGCAGGACGGACCGTCACAGGTGTGGCGGACCGTCACAGACCCTTGGTGGAAATATTGGGTCTCTGAACTCTGCGACGACCTGCAGGACGGACCGTCTCAGGCACGACGGCCCGTCACAGGTTGCGCAAATCCCAGGCAGAATCGGATTTCTGGTTAAGTTTTAAGGGACGTTTTGGGACTATTCTTTCCTTAATTATAGATTTCGTGGGTTTATATTAATAACTCAAATTCTTGAGGGTTAAAAGAGGTAACCCTAAGTTAATTAGTGGGATATTATTGTCATCTTTTATTCTTAATTATATACTAATTAGGGTAAAAGAAAGAGGGTTTGAATAAGAAAATAGAGAGAACAAGGAGAGAGAGAAATTGATCGATCAAGAGACAGAGGGAATATCAAAGCTTGGGAAATTGCTTGTTGATTCCAATTCTTCGGTGGAGGTAGGTTATGGTTATTTCATGCTATTCGTAGTAAACTCTTAATAGTGAATGATATGTGTTAGTATTATTGTAAACCCTTCTATATGCTTAATTGTATGCTTGCATGAATGATGTGATTATGTAATTATGAATAAATAAGCATGATGAAGCTATTGAATCCCAAATCTTGAAAAGAAACCCTAATCTACTTTGATAATGATGATGCCTTGGTATGAAAGAAGGCTTGATGAATGAAAGTAGTGAGATTAGGGGATCGGGTGCCACGTTCCGGTACCAGGATAGAATATGGATCGGGTGTCACGTTCCGACACCAGGATAGAATATGGATCGGGTGCCACGTTCCGGTACCAGGATAGAATATGGATCGGGTGTCACGTTCCGACACCAGGATAGAATATATATGGATCGGGTGCCACGTTCCGGTACCAGGATAGTATATGAGGATCGGAGTGTCACGTTCCGACACCAGGATAGAATATGGATCGGGTGCCACGTTCCGGTACCAGGATAGTATATTGAGGAGCGGAGTGTCACGTACCGACACGAGGGGAATAAAGATAATGAATCTTGAAATATGATAATATATCCAATCTAATGAACTAAATTCCCAAATGAGTATGATGAGGAGGTGTGAGTCCTCATTGATGTGCTTGGTGTTGTAACCAAGGGTTATGGTAACTATAAATGCTGCATGTTAAGGATATTAGTTGATTTTATGATATTGCTTAATACATACTGTTCCCTATTTTGAGTTGACCGATGATATCTACTCAGTACCCGTGGTTTGTACTGACCCCTACTTTTATGTTTTCTTCTTGTTTATTTGTGGAGTACAGCAAACGTGCCATCGTCTTCAACTCAACAGTAATTCAAGCCAGTCTTACTACATCGAAAATTCAGGGTGAGCTAATGCTTCTAGCTTGGACTGGATCTTCTTCTTCAAGTCTTGATGCCTTGAACTTCCGGCATGGACTAGCTTCTTATGTATTTTTTAGCTTTTAGAAAACTCTTAGAATTAGTAGTTTAAAGTAGATGTTCTTGTGATGATGACTTCCAGATTCTGGGGATAATGATAAGTTTTTGAGTTATAGAAGTTGATTATTTATGAGTTTAAGTCTTCCGCATTACTTTCTGTTTATATCATATTGAAATGTTAAGGTTTAGATTGGTTGGTTCGCTCACATAGGAGGCTAAGTGTGGGTGCCTGTCGCAACCCGGTTTGGGTCGTGACATTTACTTCCCTAAACGACCTTCTCTGCCTACCGGTTTCAACCTTAGGATGGCATAGTCTGGGCATACTTATTCGAAGAATATTTATGTAGCAAACTTTCTAAAGATGGTTATTATAACATTATTCAAACATGATAAACAATTATAATTAACAAGAGATTTTCAGGAATAAATTAATTTAGCTACTCATGAATATAAAATGGTATACCTGTTTTTGTAGATCTTCCGACATACTCCTTTGTATTTGACTAAGTTTTCATGGTCATAGAAGCCCCATAGATTGAAACACATTCCGTCGACGGCACTCATTTGTTCATACTGCCGCTTGGCAGCTTTTTGCCAAAACGCAAGGGTCCTCCTTAAGGGACCTTTGGTTGGTCCTTGGGCGGTCATACCCGGACATTTAGACCACAAACTAACTCTAATACGTGTTAGACACCCTTCCACAAAATTCTTCACTTTTGGACTCCTAAAACATAGTAAAATAGGCGAAGGCACACTCGAACCTCGTTGAACTAGTTTTCGGACATCACGGACTTTCCTTGACGTTATGATTTCCAAACATTCTCAATCAATAATATTGATTACATATGACCTTAAAAATAGTATATAAACCTTATTAACCTATGCTAGTTTTTAGAACATGTCTTAGACTTTTGAAGTGTTACATTATTCCCCCCCCCCCTCGTTAGGAACATTCATCCCCGAATGAAACTAAAATTCTTTAAGAGGAAGAAATAGACTCAAGACTAGCTGCAAAACCAACAACACATAACAACATGATTTACAACATCAATCATGACATTAACACATATCAATACTTTAATTACTACACACGAAGCTCAACATAAAATATGAGGGATTTCCTTCTCACAACAACATGAGCTCAACATACCATATATGAGTCGACTACGCTAAAACTAAATTTACCAACATGATCAATATCATTTGATAACAACTCACCATATCAATATACAAAACATAACTCAAAACAAGAAAAATTGCAAACTTTCAAGTCTATAGGAATATTTCAGTGTAATTTCACTGTAAAATGCTTTTTTTTTTGGAAAAACATAACCAAAAAATTATTCAACCTCAAGTTCAATGATTTATCATATTCATAAAAAATAACTAACCTTAATTACCATATAGATGAGGGTAACAAGATTTTAGGTTTGTCTTGGCCTCCCATGTTGCTCCCTCAACTCGGTTGTTTATCAATATTACTTTTTACGGAGGCCACCTCTTTGTTCCTCAACCTGTTCACTTGAAGATCAAGGATTTCAATCTGAACTTCCTCATAAGAGAGGTTTTCTTTCACACCAAGACCCTAAATAAGAAGAATGGTCTCGGGATCACAGATACACTTTTAAAGCATAGTAACATGGAATACCGGATGAACCTAAGACAATTCACTAGGAAAACCTAAACTCGTATGAAACCTTACCAATATTTTGTAAGATTTCATAGAGACCCGGATAACGTGAACTAAACTTCTATTTCTTTCGAAATCTCACCAACCCTTTCGTAGGCATTATTTTTAAATATAATTTATCACCTTCTTAAAACTCCAATTCCCTTCTTCTATGGTCGGCATACGACTTTTGCTGGCTATAGGATGTTTTCAAGCAATTCGTTATGATATGAACCTTCTCCAAAGTATTATAAATAAAATAGGACCCAAAAAGTTTAGACTCACCCACTTCAAACAATCCAATTGGAGATCTACAACTCCTACCATATAAGTCTTCATAAGGAGCCATAAATATAGATGAATAGTAGCTATTTTTGTACATAAAGTCCACTAAAGGCAAATGGTTATACAAATTTCCCTTGAAATCAATTATACAAGCTCTAAGCATATCCTCAGGGGTTTGAATAGTATGCTCCGCTTGACCATCCGTTTGAGGATAAAAAGGGAAGCTTCACTTTACTTTGGTACCAACTTCTTTTGGAATGGTATCCAAAACATAGATGTGGATTGTGCACACATGTCTCATATGATGGATAACAGAATACCATAGAGACACAAAATATCATTTACTTTAATTGAATATATACATATATATGTAACATATAACATAGTCATAAAATATAATAAGAGTATATCAATTTGTACATATCTCATACATTAAAGTAATGATGTCTTATATAAGCTTACAATCTCTTAGTACTCAAATGAAAAAGAACATAGTGGAAGTATTATTTCTAGAACAACATCAAAGGATTGATAACAACAATGATCTCAGAAAGTGAGGACCTACCCAACTTGGATGACTAAGAATTCCAAGTCTTCCTTAAAAGTCATCCCAAATGCCTTTCAACTACCAAAACCTAAAATGTTGAGGAAAAGTAAGAAAATGGGTTTAGTACACCACTTGTACTAAGTATGAGACCATATTTACACATATCATAAAATCATGATAAAGAGAGATATTTCAATAAAGTATCCAATTTACTTTGGAAAGACTTTATGCACATACAAGATGACCATAACAACCAATGTCATATTCATTAAGTCAAGATCATATACACCACAAGACGAACCATACTAAGTCTAGTCAAATCCGTAATCATATAGACATACTTGAACATATAATCAAGATAACTCTATCATCAAGTTATAACATCAACAAGCTTGAATAGAAGTTAAATACAACATATCCAAAGTAAGAGTATTACCCATGAACCCTCATTTAGTCGACTAGTGCAGTGACTTAGCAAAACCCAATAACCTTACTCAACCAACTAACTCAACAAGAATCATGTCTGATGTCCAACTTCACATAGCATATCATTTATAGTACATATCATCAAATT